CTAGAGTTTTAGCTCGATCTGTTGTTAAACTAACTTCCCTTTAATGTCCTAAACGACTTGCTACTTTTTTGACCTTGAGCCTTCATGTCGCCTCTAACCAAGCTACCGATCCACTCGAATCGGTCGAGCTACTTCTAGGTAACACGAGCTCTAGTAGTAGTTGGTATAATAAACCTTATTTGTCTTTATCCGTAAATTATCATTCGAATAACAATATGGACAATTAAGCATGTATTTCAACTAAAAAAACATATTTATATAGTGAAAAATGTTATATTTTAAAAATAATATAAATAAAATTATAATATTTCTAGTATAAATATATATATTTTTATTAAACAATATACAGGGGTACAAAACATGAGTTAAAATACTGTATAATGTTACAAATCTTGTAATCCATAACCATGCACAGTTTTTCCAAGGTTGTCATTGCTAATTAATCTCCCACAAAAATATAGATTCAAACTCGTGCAGTGAACACACGCGCACAAGGCAATCATCATCAGCTTTACCCAGCCCCGTGAGTCTGAGCCCGTACGCGTTACACGACAAATCCTAGGACTTTGCTACTGTACATAATGGACCCTACCACACCGCAGGCAGGAATCCAAGGAGAAATAAACAATGATTCACTGAATGAAAGTAGTTGAAGCAATGCTGAAGTTTACAGTCTCGGAAATTGGTGGTCGGATAAATTATTTATTTGGGACAAATTCATAATTTATTTGTACTTCAATAAATTATGTGTTGTTCTAAATTATAATTTCTCAATGTAACATCTATTCACACTAAGCACAAAAGAAATGTAAAATCGTGAGAAGTATGACGGGGAGATCAGAGATGTGTCACTTATTCATAGTAGTTCTACCCATAAATAGGGGTTTACAGTAGTAAACTTGAATAAATGACCTAATTTAGGATAATAAGCCTTTGTTCAATCCTTATTTTAGTAATGTTCACACAAATATAATTACAACATTCTTCCTTGAATATTATTACATGTTTGAATACAAAAACTTTATAACATAGTAAATATAATCAAAGGAAAAAAGAGTACAAAATTTATATAAATCATTGTTTCATTAATTAGATGCCTCATTAAAATCTTTTAACTAATTAACTATCCAATGAGAAAAACTTAAGGAAAAAAAGAGTACTACATTTAGTTTTTAGGACCTAATCTTATGAATTATTTTGAGTTTGTCCCTCCCCTAATGACAAGTCTTCTCAATTTATGCATACAACACTATAAATATCCTTCGAAAGTAAATGTATGAAGAGATTTGGTGAATATGTATGTCAAATTCTTGCTAGACCGTACGATTTGTACAAAAATCTCACTGTTCTTCAGGAGCTCCTGTGGGTAGAAAAATTTTGGAGCGATGTGTTTGTTGGGTTCTATTAGGAACGTCATCGATATGCACATCCGAATCTAAGGAATTAAATCCTAACGCAGCGTAATCTATAGTTAGAATTATGACATTACCGGTTAAAATTTTGTCGACGTTGTAGATTTTCTCTGCAGGAGATCGTCTGAACTGTAAAGTCCATTGGGCAGTCGGACTAGGCCTCCTCGGTTGATCACGAGTCAGTGGGAGTCAATGCGCGTCGGGCGCGGTCCGGGTGCTTGCGCGTCGGGACTGCGAGGCAGCTAGCGTGCAGGCATATGTGCGCGTCGGGCGCTGCGTTACTAACTTGCGGATCGCCTAGAGCGCGCGGGTACTCGGTGCGTTGGGCGTTGGGCGCTAGCCTGCGCGGGTCACGTCCGGGCGTCGGGCGTCTGCGTGCGGACGTCGGCGTCGGGGTGCTAGCTTGCGCGTCGGGACCTGCGAACTATCATGCGCTGCCTGCATCCAAGAACATCGGGTCGCCTCGGTACAGAAGGGTCGCGACGCGCGAAGAACTCAGGGCCTGGGCGTGTCGCGGCGTTGCACGATTGCGGACTAGGCATCATTGGGAGGCCCGTGGCATCGCTTGCTTGTGACGCAGACTGTGCGCGGCTGGGTGCGATTGTCGGCGGTGATTTTCGGTGGCGGTTTCCGGCGGCTTCTTGATTCGTCGAAATATTTCTAATAACAATATATGTTCGTCGGGATGCTCGAAATATATTGGACCTTAAGATCTTCTATTGTATGACCTTATACTCCTACTTAGAATAATCTTGGTGGTGCGATTAAACGGAACTCTTGAACTCTCAATATGTGTAAAACTCGATTTCTAGTCTCCCTTTAGGACTCAAAAAATTGGCCAACACAACAACATAAGAGAGGTTGGGACATGGTGTATTTATAAGCTACATTAAGAACTTAAGGAGATGCTAAATATGAGTTTTATCAATTAAAGTTAAGAAACCTAATATCCTCCAACTCTTTTTCTCTTCTAGAAGACCTAATTCTAAGGCCGGCCCTGGCCCAACGCCCAGAGTCCAATTCAATTAGGGGCACACAGATCGGCCCGTTTAAAGTCTTATATATTAGTATTCATTTGATTTTTAACNACATTATTATTTTATTATGACTTACTTTTGGTTCATTACATGAAATAAATCATCTGGTTTAAAGTTTATCTAATAAATATTTAAAATATTTAATAAAATTATTTGTGGCATTATCATGTAAAGGCAAAAGCATGCCATTATTTTATATGTGTGATGATATTTTTTTGTTTATCTTATGTCCTTGTTGTTAGCTTTATTATGAAGTTAGTATTTTACACTTAAGATTATATAAATTATTCCAATTCTCATAAAAAAAAAATAAAAAGTCATTGTTAATATTATATGAACACATCACTTTAAAAAATAGAAATTACGTCATTCACCTGCAAATATTTATTTATTTGCACATTTACGAGTTTTTATTTTTAATTACAAATATACCAACTTATGTTGTTTATGAATGACTAATTTTTCCAGAGCCTCAGAATGTGCAGGACCGGCTCTGCCTAATTCCGTCCAACTCATTTACCCTTAGGGTGGGTTTGGTTGAAAAGTGGGATTGGGCTTGATTTAATATGTCATAGTGTGGCCCACAGTTATATGTGGTATTGTATCTTTCCAATAAACATGTTTGGCTTCTTTTTTCACGTGATGGATATGAGCCCAAACAATTAATATCCCATTTGGTTGGTACATTCACCCTCCACAAAAATAAAGATTGTTTTCACCAATTAATATTTTGCCTAAATTACCCTCCTCAATTCATTTCATCTGTACGAACACACACTCTCTCAAAACCTCTCTTCTTCCCGACCAACACCCCGTGTCGATCAAATTCAAGAAGACTCCAATTGTGCGCTGGTTTCGACGCTACATTAGCCAACACCTTCTTCCCGACCAAAATCCCCAAGAGGTAAGTTGCGACTGTACGATTCATTGCTATCTCCAGCATCCTAGGGTTTTCAAAAATTAAAACCCTTTGTCAATTTAATGGTTGCTATTTGGTAATATTTATAACGAATCAAGTATTCAACCTTTTTGAAATTGCAGAACTATATCCAATTCATCAAAGTTGATGATTCGTTAGGTTGCGGAGTTAAAGAATTTGATATTTTTACCTGAATATATTTTTTTAATTTTATGATGGTTTAAACTTAAAATTACCTGAAGAATGGCCAAGCATTGTCCTATGAATAATTGTTCTGGTAGAAAAATCATAATGTTGATAGTCACTGTTCTTTTGCTGAATTTTGAGTGAAAAGTTCGAACTTCGAAATTAATTTTGTAAGACCTTGACTGAGTAATTGTTGTTTTTTCTCATTATCTCATTATGGTTTAATTTTGGTTTAACTTAAATGTGAAATTGTATTTTCGCATTCCCTCTTATGACTTGATAGAGTGATCCAATGGAGATGACCTGCAATTGTAGAGAAAAAGTGTACTTGAAGACCTCTTGGACCCAAAATAATCCGGGAAGAAGATATTGGGCATCCCTAAATATGGGGTAATTAAATTGTTTGTTTTTGTTTTCATTTTTGTTTTTAATTTGCCTAATGTAAATGTAACAAGCATTTGTAACAAAAATTGCAGAGCGTTGGTTATTGCGGATTTTTTATATGGTACGATCCGGAAATTTGCGAAAGGGCAAGGAATATTATACCCGGTTTGCTGGAAAAGTCTAATAAACATCAATATCAAATTGAGCAACACAAGTTGAAGAATGATGAAATGGAAGCTCGGCTCTTGGTGGCAATGAACGAGGTGAATGACATGAACAATGCATTGATTGTGTGCAAGAATAAGATCAAAAAATTATGGGCTGCTATAATTCTTCTCTCATTGTTGTACCTTGTCAAAATCTGTTAATTTTGTTAGTTTTGTTAATTTTGTGGGTCTCGTGGACAAAATAGTTGTTTGATTTCTTGGTTGATGTTTGCTTTTGGGTTGTTTATGTTGGATGAATGTAATTGGAAATCTCCTTTGTTTTGGGGACTTGTCTTAGAACATTGCTACAGTAGTATGTTCCCTGTAATTTTTATACTACTTCCCTGTAATTTGTAGAAGTTATTAGTATGAATGTAGTTTGAGAATTGGATGTGAGTACAATTACATGTGAAAACACTTTTGTGTATGTCTAGATTTACATGTTACCAAAATCGAGCCCAATATGAAATATATTCACATCCTAAAAATAAAATTGTCATTTACCAAACTAAGTGCAAGGGGTCATAAAATATATTCAGATTCCTCCTATGACATGTCATTCAAAAATATGACATAATGACACAACATACTTGTCTTTATCTTCTTTAAGTTAAAAAGAATATATTCCAATCCTAGTCCAATTTGTTTTTTTTCCAAATATGCATGGTAGAACATCCAAGACTTGATCCTTTGAGATCTTTAAGTTAAAAAGAATATATTCCAATCCTAGTCCAATTTGTTTTTTTTCCAAATATGCATGGTAGAACATCCAAGACTTGATCATTTGAGATGTGTTGGTAGTATCTATAAAAAGTGCACAACTCTTTCATCCAAACTCCACAATACGAAATATACCATCAAAATTAAATTTCTAACTCTTGTCACTTTTGAACTATAGCATGGCTCCAACCAAGAAGCTTAAGGGTGCAATTTCACAAGACAAGGTGTTTTACACCAAAGAGTGGACCAAAGAGGTTGAGAAAGTGTTTGTGGATTTCTTGATAGATCAAAAAAAGAAAGGCTTTTACGAGGTTGGCAGAGTCAACATGCATGCTCTCATGTGTGCATCGAGCATGCTGAACGAGCGGTTCGGTATGACCTTTGACCACAAATTTATCATCGACCGGCTTCGAAAGCTCCGTAAGCGATATCACGTCTTCAAGTGGATGAAAACATTAAGTGGTGTGGTGTACAATCCCAATGGCCATAAGGTGGAAGCTACTGAACCGACTTGGAACTTCATTGTGCGTGTAAGTGAAAAAATTTTCCTCGACCAATTTTGTCTTCCCAAGGTTAAAATTAAGAAATATCGGAGCCTTACAATTTTTTTTTTTCCCCACAGGAAGAAAAGCTAGGCATGGCTTATATGAAGGGAGGTGAACCACTCTTCCCTGATCTAAAGTTCCTATTCAACGAAGGTCCGGGAGACGAGAGTGAAAATGATGACCATGAAATAATTGACATTGCCTCGGATAGTGATCATGGAGATAATGAAGATAACGGTGACCATAATAACTCTCCAGATCCCCACTTGCCTCTTGAAAACGAGTCTGACAACACAAACAATTCGTTTTGGAACGAATTGGCATGGTACAACTCCGACAATGCTAGTGGATCCACCATACCTGACCCCGAGAACCCTCCTAGTAAACTATCAACTACCGAGGATGTCTTACGCAAGTGTAACCGACACTGGGCTCATTATGATTGGAGCAACAAAGGCAATGACGTCGACGATATCCCTAACAGCTCCACTGCATCATCTTCTCCATTTAAGAAATAGTGGAGATGGTACTACCCCCAAGGTGGCGAGCGATATAGGTGAGTAGTCTTTAGTTTATTTCATTCAATAACGTTGCCATGTTCTTTGGTTCTCTGTTCGGGTGTACACGAGTAAGGCTGCAAGTTTGAAGGACGTGGTACGACTAATTACCTCCTTAAATTCCTTGATTGACTGTAGTCAAATGAGGGTGGAGTTTAGTCAAACGATGGTAGAGTTAAGTCTATTTTAATAAGTCTCGACGGTGTTTCATAGATCTTTTATTGGTTTATCACCGGCCGGCCATTTGTTTCGGATTACTTTAGGTTCCACTTTTGCTGTAACGTGTTTGTTGTGTTTTAATAGATTGTCGTCACGCTTCCTTGGCTATTTCTTATGGTTATTTGTGTAGTCTACTTATTTATATTTTTCCAAAAACTTTTAATTTCAAGATTTTGGCATGGTACATTAAAATGGAATGTAAGTTGCACTACACT